GGAAGTTACAACGCGAGGGCTGCTAAATACGAGCTTAAATATTGACATTCACGACAAACTTCTCCCCTTCCTTTTCCTCCCCTTCCCCCTCCTTCCCTCCTTCCCTCCCTAGATGAGCTGTGGTGTAGTGTTCGTTTGCTTGTTTGTTTGTTTTGCCTGTTTGTCTCTCTTATTTGGTTTTGTCGTTCTTGTGTTTTTTTATTGTTTTTTTTTCGTGTGACGTTGAAGGATCACTAACGAGAAAGAAACAGACAGACTGACAGAAGCAGACAGGCAGACAGACACACAAACAGACAACGGGACAGACACACAGATACTCCAGACATACGGGCAGCCAGACAGAAATAGACAGGCCGATTGACAACGAGACAGCGACACCAGACAGGCAGCGACACCAGACAGGCAGACAGACAAAGAGAGAGGTGGAACGGGGAGAGAGAATAAAAATGTCAGTGCAAAGGAAGGGAGAGGGAGAGAGAGAGAGGGTGAGTGAGAAAGGGAGAGAGAGAACGAGGGTGAGTGAGAGAGGGAGAGAGAGAACGAGGGTGAGTGAGAGAGGGAGAGAAAAGAGAAAGAATATGTAGATCACAGTTAACAGAGAGATATATTTATTGTTTACAAAAAGCGTTCACGTGTGTGTGTCTGTGTGTGTCTGTGTGTGTGTGTGTCTGTGTCTGTGTGTGTGTGTGTGTGTGTACGTCGTTCTGCCTGTTTTTGTGTATGCCTGTCTGGTTCTCCGTCCGTCTGTCTGTCTGTTCCAACCATAGCACCAAAATGGAAGCAGTTACAGACCTGAAACTTTACACAAAAACATACCCTGTATATTACATGGGTTCTAAGGTTGTTAGGTTAGGTTAGGTTAGGTTTGGGTTAAGTTAAGTTAGGTTAGGTTTGGGTTAAGTTAAGTTAGGTTAGGTTTGGGTTAAGTTAAGTTAGTTGATGGCAAACTTAACAGCCAAGGTTATAAAGCATATACCTATAATACGAGTGAGCCCGGACAATTTCACTCGTATAGACAACAAGTGGCCTGGAACAGTTACCTTGCCAGTCACTCTGTAATTACCAGTCACTGTCCTGTCACATGACTGTAATTCCACCGATTTATTGTCATCATCATACGTCAACTACGCTATGAAGACCCTCGCAAACTGCATACAAGAAGATAACACCGTGTTTTAAACTCGGGGAAGGGAGGGGGAAAGGAAGGGGGAGAGGGAAGGGGGAGAGGGAAGGGGGAGAGGAAAGGGGTAGAGGGAAGGAGGGGAAGGGGGAAGGAGGCTGTATTGAGGGATTATTCTCCAGTGTGTGTGTCTGTGTGTGTCTGTGTGTGTGTGTGTCTGTGTCTGTGTGTGTGTGTGTGTGTGTACGTCGTTCTGCCTGTTTTTGTGTATGCCTGTCTGGTTCTCCGTCCGTCTGTCTGTCTGTTCCAACCATAGCACCAAAATGGAAGCAGTTACAGACCTGAAACTTTACACAAAAACATACCCTGTATATTACATGGGTTCTAAGGTTGTTAGGTTAGGTTAGGTTAGGTTTGGGTTAAGTTAAGTTAGGTTAGGTTTGGGTTAGGTTAGGTTAGGTTAGGTTTGGGTTAAGTTAAGTTAGGTTAGGTTTGGGTTAAGTTAAGTTAGGTTAGGTTTGGGTTAAGTTAAGTTAGGTTAGGTTTGGGTTAAGTTAAGTTAGGTTAGGTTTGGGTTAAGTTAAGTTAGGTTAGGTTTGGGTTAAGTTAAGTTAGTTGATGGCAAACTTAACAGCCAAGGTTATAAAGCATATACCTATAATACGAGTGAGCCCGGACAATTTCACTCGTATAGACAACAAGTGGCCTGGAACAGTTACCTTGCCAGTCACTCTGTAATTACCAGTCACTGTCCTGTCACATGACTGTAATTCCACCGATTTATTGTCATCATCATACGTCAACTACGCTATGAAGACCCTCGCAAACTGCATACAAGAAGATAACACCGTGTTTTAAACTCGGGGAAGGGAGGGGGAAAGGAAGGGGGAGAGGGAAGGGGGAGAGGGAAGGGGGAGAGGAAAGGGGTAGAGGGAAGGAGGGGAAGGGGGAAGGAGGCTGTATTGAGGGATTATTCTCCAATATGGCAACGATGTGTCCTGGTAAGTGTTATTCGTGTTATTCATGGATGTGTAATGACGTAATTCACATCAACACTCCGTACGAAAGCGCCTACACACCCCCCCCCCAAAAAGAAAATACGTGAAATATAATAGGTGGCAAAAATAACAGAAAATATAACAGATAAAGGATATAAAATAATATATATTTATAAGATTGAGGTTTGGATATAGATTGACTTAAAATTGTATCGACAGTTCATTTTTTTTCAGAAGACTTTGTGTATTTTCTGAATATTCTTCTTCCTACTCTCTAAAATACCTTATATTGGTTCTTGAATAAAGTTAGTAATGACGTTTCAATAATAATAATAAAAAAATAGCCGTGAAAACAAAAAAACCCGACACAAAAATAAGCGTT